ACATGTACATATATGTATACACACATGCAAACATACATACATACATACATACATACATACATACATACATACATACATGCATGCATGCATGCATGCATGCATGCCTGCATACATGCACCCGTGCATGCGTGCATACATGCACACATGCACGCTTGCATAGATGGATACATACATACGTTTGTGTGTTAATATAAAAACACATGGGCACACATACACAGATAAATGCATATACTATCCCATACACGGTTATACACTTACATACGTGTAACACATACGTACGCACACACACACACACACACAAATACGCACATATACATGTACGTACGTACGCACACACCTAATACATAATGCGTACAAGCATAGGTATTTAGATGGATAGCTGGATAAGTAGATAGGTAGATAGACAGATCGAGAGATAGAGATGTAGATAGACAGATAGATAGATGGCTTGGTATATACTTAGATGGATAGCTAGGTAGACGGCTAGATCGGTAGGTGTGTGTGTATACATATATATATATATGTATGTCGACAGGTAGATAGATAGACAGATAGACATACAGACAGAGATAGATAGATGTCTACCTACCTGCCTGCCTGCCTGCCTGCCTGCCTGGCTACCTACCTACATACCTACATTCCTGCATGCCTACATACCTACATACCTACATACATACAACATGCACCGGCACTCCGCACAAAACACACATGCGAACGCGATTCTGTGGTCGTCATGATCGCTGCAAAGCGTTCCCGGCTTCGTGCTGCGCTGCTTGGAGCAGGCAGGAGGCGGTAGATCCCCTGAGGAGTGCGGATGAAGGTCGTGCGCACGATACGGCAGCTCAAGCCAAACAGCACAAACACCGGCACTGTCCGCCTTTGCGGAAGGTGACACAAAGTATGGACTTCTGCCAAAAGCCATAGGGTTTCTGCAAGAGCATCTTTGGGCAACGCTTGATCCAGTGGCTCCACATGGCTGAAAGTCGAAAGATGCCAACCCCGATCGTGATCGGGAATGTTATGATAATGTTAGCGAAGCGTTCAGGAGAATGAGACAGACGCATACAGACGCTGTAGAGGACAATGAGTGATCATCACGAGCATGGGCAGGATAGTGATGTTGATAATGAGGCTGATGACGGCGATGACGAGGGTGGCCATGATGGTAGGACGATGACGACGATGCTGATGAAGGTTGTGACGATTTCGATCATCTTGTGAGTGGTCGGAAGGGTCAAAACCCGAAGCATACTCCGGACACCCCAAACCGTAAACCTTCCCAAGGCAAGGAAATCCGCTAGCAGAGACACCGGACGGCAACCCACGGAAGACGACGGTTCCCGGCAAATAAGAAAGATCTGCCTCAGCCCACTTGTTGCAACCCATATCAGTTCCAAATTGCAAAACCCAGCCCGGGAAACTTACATGTAGGTAGAGGCTTTTGAAGATCACCGCCGTTCGGCCCAACTCGGTGCACGATTGTCGGGCTTTGTGTTCAGCATTTTGATGCAGGCACCCTTGCCATTGCCGGTCTCGCGATTCCCCGCGGTTTCAGCAACGTGGCCCTGCCGCGGCGAGGCTAGGTGGTGCTTCCTGGGATTCGGTCTTGGCTTCAGGGTGGCTTCAAAGTAAGGATTTCGTCTGAGTGTAGAACTCTCTGAGGTGACTTCCCCATATTGGGTTAGATTTCAAATCAATCGCCCTCATCATCACCTCGAGGTCGTACTTTGGTTATCACTCAGTGACGTGATGGTGTGTCACTTCTGCAAACACCGTGCAGTATCGCCTGGATTGCAGGGTCTTCTGGAGATAGCTCAGGCAGTGTTGTGTGGCGGGGTGCTCTGAGCAGCAGGCGCGCATTGCAAATCCACGTAGTGCGTTTCATGACGTGTTGCTTACGCATTTCTGTCGCGCTATCCAGACCTGGACGACGATGCCCATCTCGTCCAACAGCTGGGGCTCTAGCCTTAGTGATCATGAGTGTAACTTTTGCTTCACATTTCTTGAAAGTATACGAAGCTACGGTCCAGATATGTCCAAGGTGACAAAGACGAAATGTGCCAACTGTCGTGAAGTATTGGCCAGGCAGCTGACCTGTACACCCGCATCCTAGTTTTGTACCTGGTGGCTTTGTACCTGGGGGCTTTGTGCCTGCTTTCGTCCCATGAAATTGGCGCTTGTTCATGGTATTTTCCGTGTTTCTGGCTCTACATACCTCAAGGACGCCGAGAAAGCGGAAGTGAAGCAGTTCTTTCTCCCTGAACCCTGAAGTGAAACAGCCGCTGATCCACGACTTTCTACACTCAAGACAGCTGAGTTCTTAGGCGAAAAGCACGCGCAAAGGGCTTATGTATTCTACCTGCCCAATATCCGGTCTTCTCAATCATAGAAACTCAGGCTGGAGTACAATCCTGGAAGGATCGAGGCCACGGGAGGGTTCAGCGTGCCGAGAGTCCGATGCTGTTCTGTTTCCGAGGAGCCAGTAAGCGAGAGCCTCACTAGGCTTGTAATGTTGAGACACTGTTTTCAAATTCAGGGAGCCGGTGGCCGGCAGCCGCTTGAATGTGCGTGTTCCATACTTCGCTCTTACCACAAGGAGGAAGAGGACATAATTACAGATACCCAAGACTGCAGATTTGTTCCACGCCGGCATGGCCATCCTAAGCCCGAACATGCCCAGCGCTTCAAGAGGAGTACTTCGCCGAGCATCCAACAGAGCTGGCTTCACATTTTACCGCTGTGGCGGCGGCCGGGCCCGGGGTCGGACAAAATTAGAATTAGGGTTTCGGATTCTGGCATCGGATCACAGGGCCATAGCACCGGAGGCAGGACACAGGACATCTCAGACCAGGGCTACTTGCATTGCTCATCCACGCTTTGGAAACGAAATTTACGCTGTGCTATGTCCGACACTTCCCCGTGTTTGCACCATGCCTCGCAAAACGAAGGTGATCGTGAACGTCTATAACTCGTATATTCCCACATGGCAAATATGGCGTGTGCGTGTGTGTGCCTGTGCAAAAGTCTCGCTTCAGTATCCTAGCACTGGACCAGCAATGCGAGGATTCGTGAGGTATTGCGTGACGGTGTGTGTGTGTGTGTTTGTGTGTTTCTTTTTTTTTTTTTTTTT